CTGTGTCATAGGAACACTGATCAGCACACGAGAGTGCAACCCAGCACAAACAACAGAAGAGGCACCAATGAACTGAGCACCAATGCAGGTCTGCTGCTGCCATCTTTCTTTTTTTTGGCCTTTTCTGCTGCCCGTTTCGCCTCTTCTTCCTTTGCCCTTTTTGCTTCTTCTTGTTTGGCACTTCTTTCCTGCTCTTCCTTGGCAAGTCTCGCCTTATCCGCAGCCTTTTTCCTTTCAGCCTCTTCTGCAACCCTTTTCTTCTCTTCCATCTTTGCCTTTTCTTCGTCCAGCATTCTTTTCTCTTCTGCAGCCAATCTTGCTTTTTCTTCTTCAACCCTTCTTCTTTCTTCTTCGGCCCTCCTCTTGTCGTCCTCGGCAATCTTTTTCTTTTCCTCCTCCATAAGTAGCAGTTCTGCAGCGTTTGCTTCTTTCAACCTTTTGTCGACCTCCTCGATGGTTGTGTTCCTTCTAGCTTCCGTTTCCTTATTCTTCCTGTCGGTACGGTTATCAAACACCTTCTTTGGACCTTCGACCTTGCTTTTTAATGCTTCAAGTTCCACCCGCTTTCCCTCCACGAAACTTTTCACCTCTTCCGGAAGCATTACCTTCACCTCATGCATTTCCCCAACAAGCTTTAGTTCTGCGTACGCCTTTTTCCAAGCCTCTAGCCGGCCCTTGGCTTCCCCAACTGAAAATCTGTTTTGCACCGTCACATTACCAAGCACATTCGTGACGTTCTGCAATACGTCGCGAATTTCCTCCCCCGCATTCTTAACTTCCATCGCCAATGCGTTACCAGAATAATTTACATCGAGATAATCGTAAGATTTAATGGCTTCCTTAAGGGCATTTAAAGTGTAGTCTACTTCTTTACGGATGCCCGTGCACATGAGCTTTAAGTGCTCCGCCTCGTCAATTTTAGACACAGCATCTTTTGTAGGCACCTCGTTTTCTGTCTCCCTCAAAACCTCATTTGCCTTACGAAGCAGTTCTTCAAACTTGTCCTTGTCGACGATACTCTTCAATCGCAGCACAGTTTTTCTTTCCCCCTGTTCACCATCCCATCCTCTCGTCGTAATGGCCTCAATACTTTTGGTTAGATTTACGATTTTCTTGGTGACCCCCTCGGCTTGCTTTACCATTTTATTGTTCGTCGCGACCACCTCACTCCAATGGAAGATACAGGTAGATCCGTTCGCAAAAAGATTGTTTGCCCTATCGAGGGCCGACTGCA